GTCGGTCTCGGAAGCCTCAGGTGTGACCTCAACCGGCGAAACAGAAGATGACGGCGGTCACTTCGGAAAAACAAAAGTACGGTAGCGGGAATGAAAGCAACAAAACACAAATCGGCGGAAGAGGCGGTACAGCAATGGCGGGAAAGCGAACAATATCCTCGCCCCCCTTATAATTAATGAAACAGAAAGTGACAAAAAAAACTTACCTTGAAACTAACGGAGCGGTAGCAAAGGTTGGTTTAAAGCCGATTACAATAAATATGGTGCCAAAATGAAACGGTACGGATGCAAAGTTATGTAAGTGGCTATAGTGCAGAGGGCAAAACACGAAAAGGCAGACGCTGATGATTTAAATACGGTACGGTTGTAAAAGTAAAAGATTTAGATACGGTACGGTTTAGGAAGTATATTTCCGGAAATATCAAAATTGAATGCAAAAGTCAAAGATCCCCCCCCCCCCCCCTAAACATAGACTTTACATTATATAAAAATTAGCTCTCGCAGGGAAGGAGTGTAGGAAATCGGGCGGCGTGTCGTTGCGATAAAGCTAGAAAATTCAAACTTTTCTAATTAATTACGCATTTCCCCAGCATCGGAAAAGTATGGAACCGATGTGAAACTTCGCACGTTATTGAATAGCTCTTCTTTTCAGATAAGGCCCAGCTCAGACAGGTTTTCTGTAACTCATTTACATGTCAATCCTTAATTATACTTATCTAATTAGTCGGAACGAAATCTCCAAATTCTGCCTTTTTTGTTTTTTAATCTGTGTTCGTAGACATCCAGCACTTCCAGCAGCAAGTAGCAGAGACGCAGCAGCAGTTCTTCTTCTCCTTGTTACCCAGTTATGATGATTAAAATGTTGGAAATGAAATAAATGATTACAAAACATTTTACAACTGTAACCTATTTTTTTGATTGGGATGGCACCACTGCTACAATGACAGATTTGTCAAAAACTTCACCAATTTATTCACAGATGTAAAAACCAAACCCTGTCGTGACGTGAATTGACGACAATAAATTCGTGAATTAATTCATGAATAAATTGACAAGTGACAAGCTAGCATAGCTTCGGGTATGAAACTTCGGGGCGGAAAACGGGTGCTTGTAACTGCCACAACGTGTAAAATTTCGGTTTATGTGATTCTAATTGGTAATTCTGTTGACTACTGTTCTTGATGTACTGCCGTTGTCGCATCCATAGCGTTTAGTAATATCCTTAACTTATTCGGCATAAGTATGATCATAAATCGAATTTTTGTGACAATAATTTCACGGTACCAGTGATTTTTACTAAAATCACTCGCGCCGTGCCCTCTTTTGTTTCTTCCCTAGCAAGAGAAACTGGAAAATAGCCGATTCCTTCAATTTGCTGTAACTCCTTTATGTTTAATAATAATAACAATAATAATAATATGCCTTTATTTAATAACTGCAATAGCCATATAACAAATGAGATAGTTACCATTAAAAAAAAGCAATTAAAGAGAATTGTAAAAAATTCATTTAAAAAAAATTTAGTGTAAAGAGAAAAAATATAATAAAAAAATAAATGAAATAGGTAAATGCTTAATGTGAACTACTACAGTTTTAAACCGTAAGGTGGGATTCAGATCAACGTCTGCGTTTCAATCCGACCTCCATAGTTTAAAGGTAGAACAAAATCGTTTTAGCATTATTCAGGGGCTTTATAACTTAGAAATCAATGCCTTCAGTCGTTTTTTTTTTATAGCCCTTTTAATAACTGCGCGGTAACTCAAAGTTGATTTTTTTAAATGGAAATTATAGTTGAGAATGATTTTCAAAGATTTCTTGTTTTACGAGCTTTCAAAAAATGGATATGTCATACTTACTGTCAATAATAAGTTCTCGACAATAAATTTTGTTTGAAAATAAACCAAAAAATATAGGTTTTTTTAAAATTTGTTACTCAATTTATTACTTTTCATCTCGAGTTGATCAGAATCGGATTTAATAGACGTTATAGTATGATTTCATGTTATTATTTATTCAGGCATGTTTATTCAACGACGTTCGTGTATTTCTGTAATGAAGGTTCAGGGAAAATTTTAATTGCCTATCTCACATTTGCCTTCGAAAAGTTTTTTTGTAAGTAAGAAAGCAAATCCGATTGGAAAATTAAGTTTTATATTAAAACGGTTCCTTGGTAACTTATTCGTCCAATTAGTGTTATCTTTAAAACTTTTACGGCTACACCTTCAAAATGACTGTTATTAACGTTTTCCTTTTCGGCAGAAGTTTAAGCGAGAAGAAAAGAATATTTAAGGTTTTAAATCATGTTTCTTGGAGAAGGCAAACTTACCAAAAATATAAGTTAACGAGTGATGTATTATGATCAATAAGGGGTAGGGTGACGAAGTAGGTCACTTGACGGTTTAAACAACAACTTATATTGGTAGCTGTTTGACGTTTACTCAGCTAAAGTGCGTGGGTGACCGTTTTGCAAAGTACTTGCCTAAATGTAAATAAAAAGTTTAAATTGCGTTAGACGAAAAAATTTGCAACATAGGGTGTCTCGCCTTTTCGTGTAGCTGTTGACGTGCTGTCTTTCTTTCTACTCATATTCAGCACAGCAACTTTCTCTTACAAGCTTTTCAAAATATAAGGCACTTCTGTGTATTGAATCTACTATACTTATGGGAAAAACAACCAAACGAAACATGCTGCTGCTTTTATAGTTGAATGAAGTCCAACAAATTATCGATAAGTATTGAATATTGCCTTCAATAATGAAAAGAATGTCTGCACTTTAAGCAAATTGCAAATCGTCTTAGTTTTTTTTAATTAATTCAGTAATAGAACAAGTTTTCTTAACAACCGTTGTAGTGTGAACAGAAAAATGACAAGCAGTGATGTGGACTTGTTTCCAACTGAGAAGCCAATTGTTCCATTTATTACCGTAATAGAATTATGTGAATTAAATGTCTCAAGCCAAGAACTAATTCAATAAAAACAAACCAAAACAAACGACCTGGCATTATTCTACCCATTGTTTACCCCGTTCATAATGATGTTAATTAACAATTTATTAGTGCTTTTGTTTAGTAAAATTCGATCATTAGGTACTAATAAATGCTTGTATATTTTAGTGTTACATATTAAAAAAGGATCGATAAGCTGTGCTATGCTGGAACTGCTTACTTTACTATCATTGCGTACGGAATGTTTGTTACCGGCAATGTGTATAATCAGGTATTCATATATAATACCATAAGTAGTCGGAGTATTGTCGATAATTTGTCACGAATGCTAGTTACGCTGATTAATACCACGAGCACTATTTTATTGTGTTGGGAAAAGTGCCACGTATTTTTATAATAATCATCCGTTATACATACCAACCATCAAAGTAGCAATCCGTATAATGTTTTCCCTTTTCGATTTACTAAGGAGTGCACCGATCTCATTACGTATGTGCTTTTATACGGTTTTTGAAAGAAACGTGGGTGCACTGGGGGAGCACCCACGCACGGGTTTTGATATGTATTTCATACTGAGAAATGGAAACATACTGTAAAGGTAATTTTTTTCCAAACCTGTTCTAAAATATACACACTTCTTCACTCATTTTATTTACAAAAAAATCTGTTGAGATAATTACTTTACTACATACCTAAATTGATATTCAATAATACGCCACCGAACGCACGAATTTAATTAATTTTGGCAATAAGATTACAAAGGTACCTAAGTGTAAATTAAAAGCCCTCATTGTAACGCAAGCCATTCATAAAAATATTCGTATAAAAACGCACAACTGAATCCTTCGGCGGAAAAAATACGCGTTTCACTTGTTTTTATTTCCGTATTTATTCAAAGATTTATTAACAAAACTCCTTCCTACCCCAGAAAAAGTAATATTAAACGACTTTCATTTGTGGCTTTTCGAACATTTGCCTTCCTCTCTACATTCGTAAACATCCTCCAGAATTTAATATAGCGAAATTAAAAAAAAAACGGGAGTTGTGATAGGTACTCCACTTCCAATAAAGCGAATATAAAGCAGACAACAATAGGCCCACTACACATAAACAAACATAAACAAAAATGTGAATCAACGCGTAATGCTATTAATGAAATATTAGCTGATACCCGAGTGTCTTGAACCGATGTGAAATTTATTATGGATTTAATAAAATTTTTCGAAAACCTTCCTGAAATCTTCTTTATTGGATCGTAATCGTTTTACAATTTTCTTTGGAATCTTATTGCAATATTTTTGAATAACTACACCACCCACCGAACACTTGTTCAACTTGAATAACTTGTTCCGAAAAATGGAGCACGCTTTACACTATTATATTATGAAAATGACGAACTGCGTCTACAACCAATCAAATCAGGCGGATAGCCCGAATGAATAAAGTAAAGACACCCTTGTCCAACCGTCGCTAACTAGCTAGCCAGTCGCCTCGTTCTTTCATTGTCTCAGTATTTAACGAAACACCACCTCTACCATCAATAAACTTTTTCCAGTAATTAGATATAATACGCCAATTACAATACCCCTTCGAAGGAACGCGCTACCACTTACGCTAAAAATAATGCAAACAACGTTGTTATCAGCACCAAAACACGCGCGTTAATTAGCTTACGTCCGATAGCACTACTTGTCCCAAAACAACCAGATAAAAACCTTTTATAATGCTCGCAAACTTGGCCACGCATTTTTACATTTGATAATTAACCAAACGGACAAGACGTTGTTTATACAATATCTTTGAGATTTCCATAAAAATTTCTTCACAAATTACTTAAAATCCTATTTTATAGTGTGATGGGTTCTTATAACACTTATGAAACATTTATGGAATTGAAATTTGATCAAAATCTCAAATAATATTTAAAAAATTTTCAATTTCTGCAATGCATTTTTGAAACGTATAAATTTAATTGTCGTAAATCTTCTTTAATGTAATTTATTTGAAATTGATAACATACACCTTGCAGTAGATTAATTTATTATTTTGTTATAGATGGTACTGGGTCGTACTACTAGCTTTCATTGTAAAAGTGGCTAGTCTTAAGCGAGCTACATTTTCGGAGTGTCCATGTGAGGTTGACAAGGATCAAATGGAAATTGAATGTCGGTGCTCTGGGCCAGATCTCACAGATATTCCGGCGAACTTAACTACTGCACTAATAAGCTTGTAAGTAATTTCTTTCTTTTTACAATACAAATTGCCTTACTTGAACTAGAGGTAGCTTTAAAACTCTTGAAAACATCTAAAAAATTACAATATTTAGACATTCATTACGGTGTAACATTTCTAAAACTACCCAATCTCCATTTTGCAACAAAGGATTCTAAAACACTGAGATGATCGTTGACAGGTTTTATGAAATTGAAATTCATACCTTCTCTAAAATCTGACGTAAAGCTCTAACTTAAGGTATGTAAATCCGTAAGTTCAGTTATACAGGGCATAGCGATCGAGTAGGTCAAAAAAATTTGGTAGTAATGGAGGCTAAAGCAAATATTTCATCCAAATAAGGGTCCAAAAGTAGGGATGCAAGAAAGGAAAAACACACAATAAACTGTCTCTTTTTACTTTTAATTTTTTTCTCATAGAAATTATTGAATGCCAACACGGCTACACACACCCCCACCTGAGTCAAAGCCGAGGGTAGCGTGGGGAACCCACTAAACGATTTCTTTAGTGCAGGTGAAACCTCCATCGCGCAGGAAACGGCGCCAGTCTTCACCTGAGCCTATCCCATGGCTCACACTCCAGAAACTTGTGCTCTGTTCCATCTTTCTGCGTCCAGTCCGCGCAAGCCTCTATGCCTCGGCGTTTGAAGTAAATTAAGATGCCAGTGAATGGAATAACATGGTACTTCACCTCCCCGTGTCTCTTTTCTATTCACCTCTTCAGGTTGAGGTTTAGTGTTTTCGTCCAGGAAGCCCTTCTATCCCACCTCCGTTATATCCGAAGGATCTCCTCTTACCGAGGCCCTGCCGCTAACTAATAAAGTGAGCGGACGGTAGCTGCTACTGTGTGATTGCTGACTGTCTTTCACTAGGTACTCCTATCTTTGCCGCTTTGTCCCATGTCTCCGAGCTGTATAAAATTGAATTACTAAGAACAGTATGTAACGGGGTCGTTTGGCCGTTTTCAAAAATTCGGTTTTGAATTTGTATTTTGGCGAACATAGGGAAATCCCCACAAGCACCTCTTCATAGCCAACGTGGACGCATAACAATAGCCAGAAACGAATTGCGGACAGGAAGTGCGGTTGTCACGATCTTTTGAAACCTAAACGTTTCATTCCGGTCTGTTTAAACCAGGGCACGTGACAAAAATGCACGTTTAAAAAGGTTCGCTAGTCAAAGTTCGGAGAATATGCGTTCCATTTCATAACTTCTAACGGGCGAGATTTAAGTAGAGAAAGAAATGAGAGGCCGACCATTCTAAGCTAATTTTCGCCAGCGGTCATATACTACGTGAGATGTACTGAAATTGAGCGATTTTAATATTCCTAAAGGAATCGACCTACGAGAACCATTTGCATGAATCGATTTGTATTACATTTAGTGAATCTAAACAAATGATTTTGATTATTTTATTTCATTAATTGGTTGTAATTAAAATATTTTCTAGCATTCAGAGGTATGTGGATATTTTCAGCAGTAAAATGTACCAGAAATTCGTTATGTGGTAAAAATCAATTCTAACATGGACACGTGACCACAAAATAGGTATTACATTTGTTGTATTCCTTTTTATAAACCAAAACCAATATTTGACATTTATTTATTTATTTATTATCCCTCTCTTGTTTTGGGCCCTCAACAGGCTTGCTCCCAATTACAGAGTGACCCGCATAATGCTTTTTAGAGGTGCCTCTGCAGAAGGTCTTAAGTTGTTCTATACTACTCCGGTATTTACCTTACGAAGTAGGAAAACTGCAGGAAAACCTAACTCAGAGTAGCCGACAGAATGCTCGAAACTGGTCAAAGGTATTTCCATCTCTGCCACAGATGAAAAATTCACCTCAACCCAGGTTCGAACACCCGACCTCCGGATGTATAGCCCAACGCTCTACCATTGACATCCAGGAATGTGTAAACAAATGGAAATTGATTGCTCTTGTTTGTTAATATATTTCAATCAACTAAAGTCATATGCGTAATTATTAGAGTTCAATCAAAACAGAGATTTTGAATTTCAGCTTTTAAGAGATAAATGGTGAAACTTTCGCAAGGTAAGAGGTATAAAAACCACAGACTAACAGATCCTTGTTTTGGTCTTGATAAGCTAAAGAGATAAAATAATATAAGCAATAATTGTGGACACAATATCTAAGTCTGAAATGTCAATTTAAATTTAACTTAATTTTTAGCAAAAAGGATCAACTTGTAGAACCAAAATCAAAACAGGCTTTCGCAAGAAACAACGGAGTTATAATGATAAATGTATATCACACGAATGTAGTAATACGATTCGATTGTATCGAGAACCAATATGTAATTAAACGTTATATAAAGGAGTCGTTGAAAATAAAAATTACCTTTGCACTCTGGTTGTGGGGCTCTTTTCAGCTCAGAAGGGCGCTTTTCTGCCTTATCTGTAACAGATAACACAAACAAACAAATAAGAGAGATAGTGAATATCGCGGCACATGAATATTGCGGTAGCAATGTCTAACGTCTGACACTAGGGAAAATCAAATACTAAAATCGTAATTATTACTCAATAAGAATCAATAATTCAATTTACGTTAACTAAACAAAAGTAAAATTTTGACTCGACACGAATCGTCCGCACAAATGGGTGTATGAATATCCAGGTAGATAATAACAAAAAAGTAACCCAGAAGAGAAAATTAGGAGAAAAAATGAGAGAACTTTGAAGGAAGTCAAAGCCCTAAAAAAGTACCTATTAAGATAACGCTGAGTAATAATCCATACATACCTCAGAAATAGAGAGACAATCCAAAGAAATATGGTGATATCCAATACCAAGAGCCCTTATGCAGCTAGACAATAAGTCAAGTAAAAGTAATGGTGTATATCGAGAAAAATTTGCAACTAACCACTGTGAATCCAGATCTCTGCACAGAACAAATACAACTGTACGCAAAATCAAATTAAAGAAGAAATAGAATTAGAAGTATCAGGGAAAGCATCTGCACGACTTCAGGTAGCCAAAGAACGAAGTAGGGAATAAGAAATCTACCATAGGAACAACTATCTTACATCTTAACTACATGGGATTACAAAGGAAATATCTAGATAGCGTAAGCATACTAAAAATAAATCAGAGTAAAAATCGAATTTTAAATAAAATAAGAAAAATCGTTAAACAGGAAAAAACACGTCACGAATGGCAAGCTTTAAGAAATGAAAAAGTCGACTTTCGTCAGTTCAGTACCCTGAGGTAATTACGAAATTTAATTAGATAATTTTTGAATTTTAGCCAATCAAATCTTTTCATTCTGTGCGTTAATTGCACTGAAGTTAATCGATCGTGGTACAACTGGCCCTTTTAAAGTCGTCGTTTTATGATCGCATGTTTAGTACTTTTTATCTGTGGATATTTCCTACATAGATCAAAGCTTTTAAGTATACCTATTTTACGAACCCTCTACGCACATCCACTTTACGTCTTCAATAAAGCCGTGCCACAGGGGGACGCCATTATGTGGTTTTATACTCTGTTTATGCAACAGTTGAAATAAAAACTACGCTAATGGCGTATAAGCGCATTTGCAGTAAAACTAATTGTATTTTGAAATTGAGAACATCTCGCCTCCTGCTCAGTTACGCTATTTTACTACTCGAGTAAATTGTACCTACTCGTAACTAATTCATACAATTATGAACGCTTGTGGCTTTAATGCACTTTAATTATTGTCATTAGTAGCGCAAACGTAAAAGGTTCGAGTATGTTCGGGGCTGTTTCCATTTCAGTTTAATCACTCCACTCGTAGTAAGTAAATCTGGAAAAAATTGCGGAAAATTTTGCTTGCCATTATTTTCCGTAATGGCGCCGCATTGTTGTAGGTAAGTGCCTACTAATAATTAAAGGGAATGGAATATATACATAAAGGAGCCAAGATTGGGAAATTACCGTTATTTTCGTTCTAATGAATTTGGTTTTGACTTCCTTTGATAAGATTGAGTTACAGAGTACAATGACAGTAAATTGCAATAATTCAATTTAGAAGATAGCTTACAAAAAAAGGTCTGGTTTTTATAAAAACATAAAGAAACCAAAAATATATCTGTAATTTTCCCAATGGTATGCAGGAGGAATCTTTATTTAGTAGCAGGATTGATGCCTTTTATTTAATTACAGTCTGAAATTGAAGTACTTATTTCTTTCGTTAGTGACAGTTGTGCTGATGTACTTTTTGTAGAATGGGATTTCGATTTCGTTAATAGTGTAGCGAATATTCTGGAAATCTGGATAGACATCGAGGCGCCAAGAAATATAGTCATCGGCGATAAGAACGAAGGCGGATGTGGCACAATCTTTCCGGGGAAAATGACGTGTTTATTGTAGAACATTCCGAATCGAGTCGTCTAGAACATTGTTGTATACGATCTAAGCAAGTTGTAGCATATTTCAGTCAGTTCCAACTTAGATGTGCCTTAGTTTTCCCTTCTCTCTAACCTGCAGGATCTGCGCTTAGCAGTGGAAGGCGTAGTCCATCTCTATATGTCGATGATCCAAACGTGTTTTTTGACATCTGATTCCTGTGATCCTGAGTGCAATAATGAAATGAAAAATCTCCGAACAACACTCATCAATTCTTACATGAACGCCTTTTTAGGACTGAATAGAATAACCGACGCACTAAAAAAATTCAAAATCAGCCAAGGGGTCTCCACTAGTGAAGAAAGGTAGAATTCGCATTGGTAACAACAGGAAGGTGACTGTTAAATGCAAAATATATACCGAAATAGTCATCTTCTGATCAAAGTGTCGATGCAAAATGTGACGTTTGAATGAACTTGAGGATGCCGATCCCCCATTGATTGCCGCCTAATTTGTCATGGCTATGGGAAAGGGAGGATTATTTATGGTTTAAATGTACAAACTTATTACGCACAACACAAAACAGTGACGATTTGTTTAGTTATCGTATTAGTTAAGGCCACCGTATACCGAGAATCCCCAATCATCCTTCCGGTTTTATATGA